ACTCCTGATCCCCTACCTTAATCTCCTCAGTGCTGGGATTATAGGTATATGTCATCCTCCTGACTCTGCCTCATTTTTAAAAAATTTTTATTTTAAAATTTTAGTGCTCCTAGGGCTTGAACCCTGGGTCTGAGTGCTGTCCCTGAGCTTTGTGCTCAAGGCTAGCATGTTCTGCCACTCAAGCCACAGCTCCACTGGGGCTTTTTGGTTAATTGGAGATTAAGTCTTAATGGACTGTTCTGCCTGAGTTGGCTTTGATCTGCGATCTTCAGATCTAGGCCTCCTGAGTAGCTAAGATTTCAGGGGTGGGCCATCAGTGCCTGGCCTCTGCTTCATTCTTCATTCAGGGGAAAGTGAATGGGAGAGGGAGTGAAATTTTCCATGGCCCTGCCCCCTTCTTAGGAGGTGAAAATGTCCCGTTGCCAGTAGTGACCGTTGTCCTGCCACAGCCAGCCTGCTCACTTAGGCATGTCCAGCCTTGAATTTGTTTTGTGTGTGTGTGTGTGTGTGTGTGTGTGTGTGTGTGTGTGCGCGCGCGCGTGCATGCGCGTGCTTTTTGGGAGAGGAGGTGGGGCTGGGGTCAGGCATGACCATGTTTGTGATGGGGCCCCGTGCCCGGCTGCTGGCTCGTACTGCCAGGGGCTTGGCGAGGCTGTGCTGTCTCGGCTTGAGCCCAGCTGTGGGAGCTGCTGAGCTTCCAGGCTCCCTCAGCCCCACAGAAGGACTACTGGGGATGACAGTGTGACCAGTATTGGGAAAGATGCTGGCTCTGTGCGGCCGGGGTGGCTCTCCCCTCACAGGCAGGGCTTTTCCCACAGGGGCAGGAAGAGGTGGCCCTGGAGGCTGGATGGGAGGTGGTCGTCAGGTTCGGGCAGGAGCTGCAGGTCCTGAGCTGGCAGGAGGTGCCCATTTCCCTGACAGCCTGGCTGCTTGTGCCTCATACTGGTGCCAGGCACTATCTTCCAGAGGGAGCATTTGATGGCCAGGGGTTCCCATCCTGGCTCCTGCCTTAGAAGTCCAGAGCAGGGGCTACCCTGCTGCCAAATGTAAGGTGGGATTGGGGGGACAGGAAGGACTTTGTGGGCAGCAGAGAATGAGAGACAGCCAGGACCCTAAGAGCAGTGATAAGATGGTGTGTGTGTGTTGGGGGGGTGGGGAGGAAGGAAGGGAAGGGGAGGGAAGACAGAGAGCATCTGGACATGCTATGGTGAGGACAGAGATTGAAAAGGACAAACCCCTGGGGCCCTTAGCCAGCCCTTCCTACTGAGTTTTTTGTTCATCCTTCCTTTTTGTTTAAAGCAAAGTCTCCTGATGTAGCCCAGTCTGGCCTTGATCCATGATCCTCCTACCTCTGATCCTGCATGCTGGGATCACAGGCATGCACCATCATGCTGGCTTCTGCTGGATTTCTTGCAGGCTCCAGAGCAAATGTGTCAGAGTGATGGCAGGCAGGACTGGTCTGAAGAGGGAATAGGCCTTGTGCCCAAGTACAAGGTCCTCCTCTGGTTCCTGGGAGTTTTCTTCAGGTTGCCTTGATGGCTTTTCTCCAGTACTGATGCTTCTGGGCCCCCAAAAGGCCGCAGCCCTTTGGGCTCATGTGTGTTGAGGCCTGTGCCAGGGAATGCCTGCTGGGCACTGCAGCCAGGTACCTGGGGGTTGATGGCTCCTCTGTCCAGCTGACCCCTGAGCCTGCATGGTTCATTCTTCCCTGCTGACCTACTGAGGACCAGTGACAAGAAACCCCGCTTGGGCTGGAGGTGTGGCTCAGCTGTAAGAGTGCCTGCCTTGCAAATATAGGGCCCTGAGTTCAAGGCCTAGTACTGCCAAGAAATAAAAGGAAAAAGGAAAAGGCTTTGTTACCTCCTCGTGAGCTCCATGAGGCTTAGCTTCAGTTCTAGCTCCATGCCAGTTGCACTTTCAGCCCCAGTTCCTGTGTCTCTCCATAGAGGGTTTGTACCCTGTGTGTCTCGTGTCTCAATGTACCTGAGCTGAGCAGGGAAGAGGACAGCCTCTCCTTATACTGTTCCCTAGGAGGTGGGGGCGGGGGTAAGGGGGACTCTGGAGCTTCAGAGAGCACCACCTTTTCTAGAAGTTCCTCTTCATCTGAGGAAAACCTTCCTCTTCATCTGAGCTTGCTTTAGATCAGCCCTTTGTAGAGTAGAGGAGGACCTGCCTTCCCCAGGATTGTACAGACAAGCCTTAGGCTTTAGACCTCGCTCCCCTGGCTATGTGCTTTGAACTCATCCCTCAGCTTCTTGTAGCCTCAGTCTCTGAATCTGTAAAGTTGGGGTTAAGAACAATGCTTGATAAGAAATGTACTCATTACCTTGCTCATGTAATTATAACCCCTCTGTATGGTATTTTCACAATAAAAATTAATGAAAAAAGACTATCTCCTTTAAATGATGTGGAAACACTTGTTATATATGTGAAACATATATAAAGCATGTGTAAGTATAAAGCAGTCTTCTGGCAGTCAGCATTATATGAATTGCTCCTCTGTGGCAGCGATGGGGTGAGATGCAAACTTTCATTTCCTGGGCTGGACATTTACCTGAAGGCAGAGGGGACAACAGGTCTATACTCAGACCATACTGACTTTCCTCCTTTCCTTTTCCCTCCCCTCCCCTCCCCTCCTTTCCCCTCCTCTGCCAGTACTCAGGGCCTGGGCACTGTCGCTGAACCTTTTCACTCAAAGCTTTTTCACTCTACCACTTGAGCCATACTTCCACTTCTGGCTTTTTGGTGGTAAATTAGAGATAGGAGTCTTATGGACTTTCCTACCCTGGCTGACTTTGAACCACCATCCTCAGATCTCTGCCTCCTGAGTAGCTAGGACATGACAGACATGATTTTAATTTTTTAATTGCCATGCCCCCAGTCCATGCTGTAGGTCTTCACAGTCTTTCTGGTTGTCTCATTTCTTGTACTGTCTTCTTTGATCCATGCGGAAGTTATTTCTCTGGAGTGCAAACATTCTTCTTCTTCACACTTGTTCCTCCCAGCACACCTGCTCCTGCGTGTGCCTGAATGCTCTGACATGTCTCTCCAGGACTGCCCTGGCGTACTTCTGTTACATTGATGCCTCCAGACTAAAGGCACTGTGCTGGCATTGGTGCTGCCAGCCTTAGCGGAGAACACCTTGTCTATTCCCAGAGTTATACTTCTGGAAGTTTCTAATCCATTCCTGTGCTTTCTGGTTGTCTTCCATGTTGCTTTGTTGCAAGGTGAAAAGGAAAAGGTGGCTGGGAAGTAGCTGGGAGTGGAAGCGGGCTTTCTATTGGCATAGAGGACTGGCAGACTCCTGCCAGCGCGGTGCTTATCCATGAGGCCAGAGATCCGCAGGGCCTGAGCACCCTGTGTCCTCCCATCGGGACATTCCAGTCACCCTGAACAGCAAGCGTGAGATGTGGGTCTCAGGAGCAAATCAGCATCAAGGTCTTTTCCACCTTGCTGGCTCATAAATCTGCCTGTGTCTGCTGGCAGCCTTGGTGGGCGGGGCTTCCTGGCCGGCACTGAGAGGGGGTTGGGGGCGAGTGATGCACAGACACTGTGGCGTGACAAGCTGACGGTGCAGAGGTGCTGAGGGATAGTGCCCGGGAAGGCTGGCTCATCTGCAGCCCAGTCACTTGAATGTCTTTAAATTCTGTTTTATTTTTGTTTTGTGCCAGTCCTAGGCTTGAACTCAGAGCCTCAGTGCTGCCCCTGAGATGTTACTGCTCATGGCTAGCATTCTTTTTTCTTTTTTTGGGTCCGGTCGTGGGGTCTGAACTCTGGGCCTGGGCGCTGTCCCTCAGCTCTTCAGCTCAAGGCTAGCACTCTGCCACTTGAGCCACAGCGCCACTTCCGGCTTTTTTCTTTTTCTGCATGTGTTGCTGAGGAATCGAACCCAGGGCCTCATGCATGCAAGGCAAGCGCTCTACCACTGAGCCACCTTCCCAGCCCCTCAAGGCTAGCATTCTATCACTTGAGCCACAGCTCCACTTCTCTGACTTTTTGGTGGTTCATTGGAGATGAGAGTCTCACAGACTTTCCTGACCAGGCTGGCTTCAAAGCGGATCTCCTGTGCTTGGCTTTTCATTCACTTGTGAGGGATTATGTGGGGAAGATACTCTGAAGAAAGAACAATTAGTGACGGTCTGGGGGCCTGTGGTTTGTAGTTTGGGAACCTGGGGACCAGGAGCAGGTTGGTTGGTGGTGTTGAGGGAACAGCATGGTATGCATGGAAAGGTTGGAGCTAGTGCACAGGCCCCACCTAGGGCCATGGGGGCTATGGCTGTGACCATGCATTGTAAAGGTGAGTGAAGGTCTCTGCTGTTGATCTGCCACCTCATGTACCGTGAAGGTTCTGCCCTATAGCCACTATATCTAGAAGTTATGCCCAAGGAAACCTGCCAGCACCACTGCCTCACACTAGCTGGTGTTAATTGAGCACTTACTATGTTCTGAGTGCTTGTCTGTCTCATTTGAGCTTAACAATACCCTCTAACTTAGGCCTTCCTTGTCATCTCAGTGTTTTTGGTTTTGGAAACTTGAGACTGGCGCAGCTATTAAGAACTGGAGCTGGGATTTGAACCCAGCTGGCTGACTCAGAGCCCTCATTCATTCTTAACCTCTGTGGCAGTGCTGCCCACGTGAAGGTGAGTCAGCCACCTCTCACAGGGAAAGCAGCTGGAGGGGTTCTGCCTACTCCATCGTGGCCTGTCTTCATGTAATATCTATCCCAGGGGCGGATAACACCTTGGCGTGTACAGGCCATATACTGTGAGGTAACTGGAACCAGAGCATTTGTAAGGTTTCTCTGGGCATCATGACTGATGTTAGGCTAGTGACATCCCATCATGTGATCCGCTGGCATAGGTGTTTACAGTGCTGGCAGGAGCTGGGTTGTCCTGGGCAGGCGGGTTTCCCCTCTGCCTTGTCTTACGCCAGCCAGGCTTGAGCTGAATGACCTTCGTACATCTCAGCCTCACTCTCCTTCCTTCTCATCCTTTCCCCAGATTGACAAGTATCTCTATGCCATGAGGCTTTCCGACGAAACTCTGATAGATATTATGACTCGCTTCAAGAAGGAGATGCAGAATGGCCTCTCCCGAGATTTTAATCCAACAGCTACTGTCAAGATGTTGCCAACCTTTGTAAGGTCTATTCCTGATGGTTCAGGTGAGTCTCTTGAGGCTGAATGTTGTGTGAAATCATCCTTCCAACTTCTGTGTGTTCATAGATCCATCCATCCATCCATCCTTCCATCGATCCATCCATCCACCCATCCGTTTTTCTCTCCATTTGTCCATGAATTGATCCACCCATTGATTGATCCATACCTCCATCCATCTGTCAGAGGTCTGTGAAACATCTCCCATGTGCCAGACATGGGGACACCATATTAAAAAGGCTGACCTGCCCTCATGAGCTGGGCTCTGTGATAGCTTATGACATGTTGAAGGTTTAGTGTTTGAGGATTTGTAAATACCACGTGGACTGGACTGCTCCTATGTCTCTAGAACAAATCAGGCGTTGTTTTAGAAGAATCTCTCCATCAGAGAGCCCCTCTTTTCAGGATTCTGATCAGGAACAGTTCTAGCCAGATGGGCTTTGGATTCAGCTGGGCTGGATTCAAGTCCTCATTTGAACAAATCAAAGTAATCTTACAGGAGAGAGGGAAGGTAGAATTCACTCTGCATCCATGTGACTTGGGATGCTGAGAGACCCCCTGAGGATCGTCAGTACCCCACATCTGACCTGCACTTGGACTTGTGGAGGACAGGAGGCTGTGGGCTTGGCCTGCTCAGTGGAAGCCATTCCTGCTCAGCTAAATCCATAGTCATTAATTGGCAGAGGTGGATGCCGTGCCCGCCCCAGCTCGGCACCTGCACAGGAATTCCCCGCAATCTGCTCTCTCCTCTAGGCTGGGGCTCACCTGATGCCTGGTGTGGGGGGATGAAGTTATGAGGAAGTGATGTTCTGAGCACATGCCTGTGAGTATGGCCTTCATGTTCTGTTTCTTCCCTGCTCTGGAGGCCTCAGTTCAGTCTTGTCTAAGAGGCTCCTGTTCAAAGCTGCTTATACATGGACACTAGGGTAGCTGGTGCAGCTGCTGTTGTTAGAGGATAAGTAAGTACTGTGCAGGGTGTATGCGGACTGCTCACAGAGGGGAGAGCTCTGAGACTGACCTTGGAAGTCCCAAGTGAGAGTTGCTGATGAACAGTGTGTGCTGTTTACTCCCAGCTCTGCTGATGGGTCTCACTTTAGGCACAGGCCTAGGCTTCTGTAGCCTGGGCCTCTGTAGAGGACCTCTGCTCTTTCATTACTTTGAGTTGGTTAATAGCAGTTTAGCTTTGAAATAGTGCTGAAGGGGTTCTGGCTAACAGATGATGGGAGTGTGCTGGGCCCTGGGTGTTCCTGTGCCTGTGGCTGGGGAGTGGAGACCCCTGAGTTAAGTCTCACTCTTTCCCACATATATCACTGTGTGGGAAGAGAGTGGGGAGGGAGGGAAGGTGTTGGGTGCAGTTCCCAGAGAGAACCTGCCCAGGAGAGCACCTGCTGGGGTGGGGCTCTGAAGGATACCTGATCCCAGCAGGCACCTGGTGCTGTGTGGCCAGCCATGGGGAGAGAGGAGGAAGCGGTGGAGGAGCCACCTCTTTGTCTTTCCTCTTGAATTCTGCCTTCCTGTTAGTTCTCCTCCAAGACCCTAGGTCAGCAGAGGATGCTCTCTTCACTCTTTCCATTAACCATTTCCAGGGTTTGAAGGTCTTAAAATATGACCGGACCTGTTGAAGTTGGCATAACTTTTTCTGCTCAGTATCATTTGTTATATTTGGAAACCCTATTGCTTTTTAAAATTTAAATAAATATCTCTGAAATCCACAATTTTACATAGCAGTCTCATAATTGTCATTGGCAGCATTTCTGGAACTTGGGGCTTGAAACACTGCTACTGAAGTGTTCTACCACTCTCCCATGCTCCCAGCCCTTTGGTTTGTATTTTGTTTTTGAGATAGGGTCTGATCCTCCAGCTCTGGCTGGGATCACAGACATGCTCTACCTTGCCTGGCTTGTGTTTGTTAATATTATATCAGATAGCGGTGTGTCACAATCCATGGTGTCTTCAATGTGATAATAGCACACGTAGGTCCATCTTGGGAAACCTAATATAGATTGTGGACTGGGAACCAGCAGCCTGGGCCTCCTTTGAGCCTGACTCCTGCCAAGTGGATAGCGCCAACTATTAAGACCTTTTAGAAGCACTGACCAGCGTTATAAACCACAGCAGGAGGAGAACAGGAGGGGGTGAACCAAAGCTCCAGCCCACGGGAGCCTTCAGTGCACAGGAGAGTGGGACCTTGTGATTTGTCATAGATGCCAGTCATGGAGAGGAGATGATCCCTTCTGCAGAGCCCATTTCCAAACAAGGTTACATTTATGAGGGGTCACGACCTCCATGGACCTTTGAGGAGACAACACTACAACTGGAAACCCACCCATAGCCTTTCTCTCTGTTGACAGTTCCTGATATTTCTAGGTGGGCTCTGTTCATGTGCCCTGGGGCTACATTCCAGGTGCAGTGGTCCCTACTGGCACCGAGGCATTGATACAGGCTCCAAGGACCCCTTCCTATCCCTGGCCCGTAGGGAAGTGAGGCCCTCCTCTGCATCCTCTCCTGAGGTCCCAGGCTCCTCTGTTCTCCCGGAACTTCCTGGGTCTCTTTAGTAGGAAGTCTGTGATACCGTTCCTTTTTTTGAAATGTTAATCACTCTTCTGTAATTAGCCACAGAATGAGTGGTAATCCCAAACCACTGAGGATGAGAGCTTCCCTGGCCTGGAAGGAAGGGAAGCCTTCCTCCTGGGAGAAGCCCACCTTCCCTTTCTTGCCCACTGACCCTGGACTCAGAATTTTCAAACTGCTGACTTTTCAGAAAGATTTCAGAAAAATATACCTGATTTAAAAAAACCCACCTGATAAAACCACACCTTCTAATACGTGCCAGCTCATTTTTAATTATTTTTTTTTTCCCCTTGGAACCTGTTTTAATGGACAGTTTCTTGAAGTAGGTTTTGCCCTCCCTGTTTTTCTTTCTTCCTCTTATTCATCAATAAGGGTATTGTGGATGCTAGCTAGATTATTCTTACTATTATGTAGTTGTACAAAGGAGTTATAATTCCATAAATGAGGTTATGAGTATAATACTTCTTGGTCAGTGTTATCCCTTCCTTTGTTCTCACCCTTTTTCCCCTCCTGTCCCTGCCTTCAAGTTACATAATTTATTTTGATTATTTTTTTTTCCTTTTGTGCCAATTCTTAGGCTTATACTCAAGGCTAGTGCTGTACCACTTGAGCCACAGCTCTACTTCAGCTTTTTTGGTAGTTAATTGGAGATAAGAGTCTCACAAACTTTACTGCCTGGATTAGCTTCAACACTTGATCCTCAGATCTCAGCCTCCTGAGTAGCTAGGATTACAGGTGTGGGCCACTGGTGTCTGGCTGGATTATTCACCTTTTTTTTTTTTCCAGTCCTGTGTCTTGAACTCAGGGCCTGGACACTATCCCTGAACCTCTTTTGCTCAAGGCTAGCACTCTACCACTTGAGCCACAATACCACTTCTGGCTTTTTCTGTTTATGTGGTACTGAGGAATCGAACCCAGGGCTTCATGTGTGTTAGACAAACACTCTACCACTAAGCCACATTCCTAGCCCTAATTCACTTTTTTTAAGGGTGCATACTGTTGAATTGTTCTTTGCTTCTCTTTCATAGTTCATAGCATGATATTTCTGAAAGAGGAATACTTCCTGGAATCTTTTGATATGCCATCTCTTTTTCATGCAAAGCAAAATGATTTATAGTTTTGTGCTCATTGATTTTTTTCTTTTTCTTTTATCATTATCATTATTTTTAATTTCTTTATTAAAATTAAGTGATTACATAAATTTCACAGTATATTATTATTATTATTATTATTGTTGTTATTATTATTATTTTGAGAAAGTGTATTGCTTAATCCCAAGTTTTAGATCCTCTTGTCTAAGTCAGTCTCTTGGATTGCAGGCATACCCTACCACGTTGGGCATGGTATGGTCATAGACATTCCAACCAAAGGAAAAAAGATTTTTCTTTTGGGGCCTTTGGGGTATGTCAGGTTTCCTGTCTGGAAGGAGAGTTGGATCATTTTGTAAGTTGTCTCCACCTGTGAAATCTGCTTGTCTGTGTTCTAGGTGGGTTGTGGATGGCTGTTCTCATCAGGTCTGGCTTGCAGACAAGAGGGAAAGAATGTCTTTGGCAGAGAGGTGCTTGATGAAGGCATGATCTGTGTTTGCACTGTATTCCAGCACAGCCCTGGACTGGAGAGACATCTGTCCCTGTGTTTGTTTTCTATCATTTGCTCTTAATAATGGCTGTCATTAGGATGTAGAGAATCTCCAGGCTTTCCAGGTGTGGTGCTTAATGAGGCGTGAAGAGTGGCTCTTCTGGCTTCAGTGAAAATGGGAAATGTGAGGAGAAGGAGCAAGCAGAAGGCAGAAAGGCAGGTCTGAGACCAAGATTTGAAGAGCAAGTTAATGCTATAGAAAAGAGGCTTAAAGTCAAAAGGCAAACAAAACACAATAAAGTAAAAGTCGAGAAGCCTGACTGAGTCTCTGGTGCTGTCCCTCCGTCTCTGAATGACTCTGGCGAAATCACTTCCCTGAGCCTCCCTTTCTCTGTCTAAGCTGTATGTAATGGCTGCTGTTCACAGAGCTGTCATCAGGGTCGAAAGAGAGTGTTTGGGTCCTGTCATTGTTGTCCTTATTGAAGTTTAGTAAGTGACTTTGTATGAGTTCCTTGGGAAGGTCTTTTCCTCTGTCCACCTGCTTTGTGTAAGACTAGCAGTAAGGATGCAGGCTTCTGGAATTCATTGGCTGTTGGAGGAGGAAGCAGCGAAAAGGGGAAGCCAAGTCAGATTCTCTCCCCTCTATTCCACATAAAGTGGGGTGAGCCCTCAGGCTGTAGATTTGGTTCCTCTACCATGGAATGACTATACTCCTTCACTGTGACTTAGGGAACTGAACTGAGAGATAAAGGGGGATGATAGATTCCTCTTGTTAGAGAGACTAGGGCATTTTGGGATATTCCTTCCTTAAAAACAATATTAAACTTGGGAACCTTCTGATTGTAGCTGAACTAAACCAAACTCTAACCAAAACAACAACAAAAGTGGGGTGGGGTGAGTAGGGGAATCTAGGTTGTCTGATTTGTCAGCTGGCTTCTTTGTCCAGGAACTTCTCTGTCTCTGTCTCTTTGGCTCAACCCCACAGTCCTTGTCTTGGCTTCATTCGCAGTCCACATCTTCTCCCCTTATAATGGTGGACATAGTTGGGCAAGGGGCTCATATCTTCCCCTTTGGCTAGTGTCCCAGCCTTAGCGTTGGTCCTTGCAGAACCATGACTGATTAACTTGGGTATGTGTCCATCTTAAACCAATCAGCATAGCTGAGAACGTGAGCCTGGGTCACACCTTGGTACCTGTGCAACTGGGGCAGGGCCAGCTCCACCCCAGCCTCATGGGTGAAAAACAGGAAGGATATGAGCTGAAGAGATTTTTTTAAATGTCCACTTTTCTATTACCTTGGGAAGCTGTGGAGAATCATGGCTTTCGTGTTCTTACTTGACTGCTACACATCCCATGGAATTTACCAAAAGGCAAGTGTTAGCTTGGTGTCCTTTACCCAGTGACCAGGCTGTGGGACAGATGAGGCTGCCCTCCTGTAGCCCGTTTTAGTCACTGTGCTTGCCTGGGGTCTGCAGGACCCTGTGCTGTGAGGAGCAGAGCGGAGGGAGATAACAGGTGAAATCGTCCTGGCTCCAGGTTGCTTATCACTCAGCTATGGAGGATAAGAAATACACATGTACAACATAATGAGAATCAGGGTGTTTGCAAGTTGGAGAGAAGGAAGGCATTGCCTTGGCCTGGCCACAGGTATGACTGGTTTGGTTGGTGCTTCCTTTACCCATAAACTGAGGAGGTAAGTTAATATTTTCCCAGTGTTTCCTAGGCTGAGTGATTTTTCAAAAGAGGTGTGGTTTCTTTTCAGCAACCGCAAAACACACCTTCTGATAGAGCCAGGGTCGTAGCAGGAGAAGGGTCAGGGGCTGAGAGAGACACCCCTTGGCACTGTGCATCACTTGGGATGGGATGTCATTAGGGCCTGTTGAGGCCCTCAAATCCATTGGCCCTCATTTGAAGGTGTGCAAAGCTTCTAGTCTTTCTTTTTGTTCTGGCATCTCATGACAATCACCCTTCCTGCTCTGACCCCATGGATCTATGCCTGTTTACAAAGGAGTACTGGAGAACGGGATGAGAACACTAAAGCCAGATCCCTTCCTGATCTCTGTGCAGCAGGGATTGTAGTTTACTTCTCTACCACTGGATAATTGTCAGGCTCTGTGTCTTGCAGAGGTGCAGCCTGACCTTTCACAATTTACTTCTTTCTTGACCAGGGTTGGTAAGCCCTTTCTGCTCTCTCTGGACAGGGATACTGACTGGCCCTCCTAGCCTCTGTCACCTCACGCTTATGAATAGCTTTTTCTCATGCTATTTTTCAACTTCAGATTAATCAACTTCAAGCATGGTGAGCTGTGTATAAATTTTTGTGAACAAAAATCAATCATTACATTAAAAATTGTTTCAGAAAGCTCAAGGAAACCAGACTGGCTAAAACAACAAGGACAAAAAATTATGCCAGTACTGGGGCTTGAACTCAGGACCTGGGAGCTGTCCCTGAGGTTTTTCTGCTCAAGGCTAGCATTCTACCACTTGAGCCAAATGTTCTACTTCTGGCACTTTGGTGAATTAGAGAAGAGTCTCACGGACTTTCCTGTCCAGCCTGGCTTTGAACCTGATTCTCAGATCTCAGCTTCCTCAGTATCTAGAATTACAGGTGTAAGCCACCAGTGCCCGGCACCAGCTCAATTATTATTACTTTTTTTTTTTTTTTTGGTCGGTCATGGGGCTTGAACTGAGCGCTGTCCCTCAGCTCTTCAGCTCAAGGCTAGTGCTCTACCAGTTGAGCCACAGTGCCACTTCCGGTTTTCTGGTAGTTTATTGGAGATAAGAGTTTCATGGACTTTCCTGCCTGGGCTGGCTTTGAACTGTGAGCCTCAGATCTCAGCCTCCTGAGTAGCTAGGATTACAGGCGTGAACCACTGGTGCCTGGCTTCAATCAATTTTTTATTATATATTTTTTATTATAAAGATACTGTACAGAGGGGTTACAGTTACATGAGTAAGGTAATGAGTACATTTGCTTCAATTAATTTTTAAGTGAGCAAAGGATCTGAATAAGTGATTAGGTGTCTGAATGGCTAGTAAACAGGAGCAAAGCTGCTGAATAATACCATTAGTCTTCAGAGAAATGCAAGTGGAAATAAACGACAGTTGCCGGTGATTCTGGAAGATGTTGAGAAACTGGAGGGATGGAAAGTGGTACAGCCGCTTTGGAATACAGGGCAATTTCTCCTCAAGCTAAACATGCTTTAGCATTTGACATAGAAGTTCTCCTCCTAGGTAGCTGTAGCCAAGATAAATGAAAACATGCCCCCACAGAACCCTGTGAGCCAGTGCTCACGAGAGCATTGCTTAGAATAGCCAAGTGGGGCAACAGCCTGTGCCCAGCAGCAGGTGAACAGAGAAATAGAAACCACCATATCCAGGCATAGTAGTATCTGGACACAAATATGAATGAAAATGCTAGCATATATTACAATGTGGATGAACTTTAAAACCATCTTATGAAGTGAAAGAAGCCAGTCATGAAGGCAAAAAGCTAACTAACCAGTGTCTGACTCTATCCATAAAATATCTAGAAGATATCCAGGCAAGATGCAGAGACAGCAAGTGGAATGCCGGCTGCCAGGGCGGGGCGGGGCTGTGGGAATTATGGCTTAATGCTTCGTGGGTTTCTGTTGGGTTGGTGAAAACTTTTGGAAATAAGTCATGATGGTTGCTCAACATGGTAAATGTACTTAACACCTAAAAGGGGGTATGATGCGGATTTTCTGTTAGCACATCATGAAAAAACAACTTAATGGGCTAGCGTAGCCACCTGGAAGGACCCCAGGGCATACCTCAGGTGTAATATTGTCTCTGAGTGAAATCCTGTGTGATTTTCTGTGGATACAGGAGTGCTGGCTTTGAAATGGGGTGAGAAATTAGAGGAAGAAGAGGTGAATCTTTGTATTGCTTCCTCTGCTGGAAGCTGGGATGTTGGTTGCTTGAAGCCCTTCCTATCTCAGTTCACTGGCTAGGTAGAGCTTCTCTGCCTACTTCTTACAGGACAGGGCTTGGATGGTCACATGATTCCTGTTCTGCGGGTAGAGACAGACCAGGAGTGGCCTGGCATGTGTTCCCCTCCTGATATTTAAGTCTGGTGTGACATTTGTTGTATCCCTCTGCAGAAAAAGGAGATTTCATAGCCTTGGATCTTGGTGGATCTTCCTTCCGAATTCTGAGGGTGCAAGTGAATCATGAGAAGAACCAGAATGTTCACATGGAGTCTGAGGCTTTCGACACTCCAGAGAACATTGTGCATGGCAGTGGAAGCCAGGTAGGTCCCTGTGTCCTTCAGGTGGGTGTCATCTGGGGCATTTTGGGGACCAGACTGCCAATCACTGGTGCTCTGAGTCCCTCTCATAGTTTAATGGAGTCTAGCATAGTGCACACACACACGTATGTATGTATGTATGTATGTATGTATGTATATATGTATGTATGTGACTCCTGGGTAGAAGGGTAGGTCTAGCTTGTGCCTGAAAAGCTGTCCAATGTCTGGGTAAACTGATGGGATGGGAGTAGGGCAGGGTGAAGGAGCTGGGAGGGAGGCGCTTGGCTAGAAGATTTGTGTGGGTTCCCTAGCACAGTGTTTAGCACAGCCATTGGGTAGAAATGTTCTTGCCCTGTGGAGAGGCTGTAGCCTTGTTGGACACAGGTAAGGTTCACAGCTTGGGTATTGGGGCTCCTTGCTATGGATTCTTGGCAAGTAGAGAAAGCAAATTATGCTTTGGAAATGACGGTTCTCTCATCTTACCCCTGTACCTGAGGCTGGCTCATCCACTCTCTCATTCATTCCTCACCTGGGTCTTCAAGGCAGGAGCCCTGTCCTTCCTTGGGCATATCCAGGAAGGGCCTGTCTGGTTGTGAGTGGTGAGTCTCTATCTCCTCAGGACCCTGTGACTAGAATTTTTTTTTTTTTTTTGTTTTGTTTTTTTGGATCCGGTCGTGGGGCTTGAACTCTGGGCCTGGGCACTGTCCCTCAGCTCTTCAGCTCAAGGCTAGCACTCTACCACTTGAGCCACAGCGCCACTTCCGGCTTTTTTTTCTTCTTATGTGGTGCTGAGGAATCGAACCCAGGGCCTCAGGCATGCAAGGCAAGCGCTCTACCACTGAGCCACCTTCCCAGCCCCTGTGACCAGAATTTTTGCAACTCTCCTTATTTTCAGTTATCTGTAGGTTCCTTGAGCCTGTTCATGGGCCTTTGCCTCTCTCTAGGCTGTTCCTACCCGGTGTTGGTGCTGCAGTGCAGGGTAACCATTGAGAGCTTGCCAGATGTTTTCTGTGGGGAGAACATGTCCAAGGTTCACAGCTGAGATCTCTGGAGAGCCCCTTGGTTCTGGGATGGACTTGGAGGTGAAACCCAGGAAGCTTCACTTCTGGCTGCCTCTTTGTTCTTGTTAGTGTGGGTGGCTCCTGGAACTGTTTTTGAAGTTAGTTTAGGTGGGACCTGGACCAGACCACCCAGCCTTTCTTTGTCCAAGAGTCAATGAGGACCAGTTGTGGTCTTGAACTTTCTCCCTGGGGTTTGGGATCAGAGCTTTTTAGACCACAGGGATCATGAAAGGAGACACTGTCTACTGCAGGTCAGTTACTTTATACGCAGCCACTGAAATGGGTATCACTTGTTGGGTGGCTCTTCCTGGGCCACTGTGAGCAGATGTCGCTGGACTGACATGTGCATGAGGCTGCAGTTGGTGGCCCTTCTAGCCAGTCCTGGGTCAGCCGAGGGGTGGCTTCCTGCCTCCTTGGGCTGGTTTGTAGCTGCATTATGGGAAATACTCAGAAATTCTTAGCAGAGTGCTGTGGAGAGCTGTGTTTGGCTTGGATCCAGGCTCTGGGTCCCGGGACCTTGTGACTCTGCACCTGCCAACCCTGGATATTTCCCTGCCTTTCCAGCAGCCCTCCTCCTTTCCTTCTGGCTGGCCTGCAGCAAGGGTGCCTGGAGTGTCCGGTACAGATGGTGGGGGGAAGGGTGCAGAGCGACTTAGTAATGGGTTTTTATCAATGTGAAATAGGTCACAGGAAGCTTAGCTCTTCCAGGGAGCACCGGCATATCTCCTATCAGCAATGCCATAATCTGCCTTAATAGTGACTCAGGATGAGGTTCCTACATAAAAGGTGACCAGATTTCCCTTTATCCTGGCACCAGAGTCCAACCTGAAAGCTGGGTCAGGAGTACTGGAAAGCTAAGGGTGGCCATAATAAGCTACAGCTCCTTGCCAAGGAGGCCTGTGCAAGAAGACCTGTAAGGAAGATGGCCTCGTGTGGGAGCTTGGACTGCACTGCTGGGGTGACTTTGGCTGCCCTTGCCTGGGCTCTGAGTAGCTCTGTGTCAGTGTCACTGAAGATGGCCGGTCATCCAAGGGCATTTTTCATGCAGAAGCTATGGGATTATGTTCTGGGCTCTGTCTAGTGGGTTTCTAAGATGTCTACACCCCTAATGAATCACATGTCATGTGTTGTGAAGCAAGCATATATTCCTGATACGGTGTTTCCACATCAGAAATACCGTGTTCAGTGGTATTGTGGACAATACTTTGTGAACAGTCCACAAAGACAAACACTCAGACACCAAAGAGCATACCCTGCCTCATTTCCATATGGAAATGAGGCAAACAGGCAGAACTAATCAATCCTGGGGTTAGAAGTCAAGGATAATGACTGTGGGCCCACAAATCTGGCTGGCCTTGTATATGTTAGACAAGTGCTCTACCATTGAGCTGTACCCCCAGCTCCCTTTGGGTTTCTTGATATGGGTGCTGGTAACATAGGTGGGAATCCAGTGACCTTAGGATGTGTGATTTTTTTTTTTTTGGTGTTGTGTATATTATTCTTTTGCAAAAGACTTAAAAATGTGATAGTCTAAAGATTGTCTCATCGCAGCAGTGGGCCAGGGTCTGGGAATTAAGAGGGAGCAGAATTTAGAGGAGGAGCCAGATGGCTGCACCTAGGTGGTCAATGGAGACCCATGGGCAGTGTGTCATGGAGAGATGCACTGATTTTTTTCCATTGTTTATAATTTTTCCAGCGCCTGATGACACATAGACCACTGAAAGACCATTTCCTTCTGAGGGTTTGAGATGCTTCCCAACAGCTATGCTGCCCCATGGTGGCTCATCTCTGCCAGGCACATAGACAGGGTCTATCACATGTCAGACAGGGTCTCTGGGCATGATGGGAGGTGGGTCTCTCAGGGAGATGTGCTCCTTTCTTTGTGGACATTTTCCAGTTGACATGCCAGGTCTCCTTTCTCCCATCTGACTGTGCTCTCTTGCTCTTCCCAGCTATTCGATCATGTTGCTGAGTGCCTGGGCGAGTTCATGGAGAAAAGAAAGATCAAGGACAAGAATTTACCTGTGGGGTTCACATTTTCTTTCCCTTGTCGACAATCTAAAATAGACGAGGTAAGGATGACCGGGGGCTGTTGAGTGCTACCTTGCCACCTAGGGTAGAAATGCTAGTGAACCTCTTTCTCCACCACTTTTCCTTGTTTACTGGATGGTCCATGTGTGTGATATTCTTAGAAAAGAGCCTGTCATACTGGATGTCATTCATTTTTTTTCTTTCAATTTGCTGATGAGTATGTGGAGACGGATCATGGTAGGGGTACGGGGGACTGCTTATTAGTGCAAGCAGGTGAAGGAAAACGCATGAGGTTCAGTGATGATGCAGACAGTGTAAAAGTGATCTTGAAAGAGCTGTATACTCTGGTGACTGGGAGTCTACGCAGGACCCTCCTCCCCTCAGGGGTCACGCCACCTTCTCCAGAGCATGTGCCGGTCCCCAGTGAGGCCTTGCTTCAACATCTTCTTGTTTGATAGTGTTTATCTGCTCAGCAAGGATGTACTCATACCTCCTCTGAAGCCCTTGTTTTGTATCGCAGAGAGCTGCCAAAACACAGAGGAACAGATGCAGACAGATGCAGGCCATGCCTTTTAAACACACACACACACACACACACACACACACACACACACACACATCTGTGATTAGTCTCATATTTGGAATTTTAACAGTTTACTGTGTTGACCAGGCTGTTTGAACATGCACTTCACAGGTAACTTATATAATCTTTAAACACAGTGCTAAGTGCTGATTATCCCCTCTTTGCTGATGAGAAAATTGAGGCTCAGAAGGGTTAGCAACCTGCCCAAGATCTATCAGCCTGAGAGAGAGCAGGGCCTGTGCTCCTAACTGGCTTACCTTACTTCAGGACAGTAACATGGGAGCCACATCCTGGACCCCATTATTATGAGAGCCCATCCATCTGTACAGTCTAGGAATCAGAATGGGTCCAGGGAGCCTAGCAGGCCACACCGTGCATTTCAGGATGGAGAGCAGAGGCCTCTGAAAGGTTACAGTGCTAATAATTAGAGATTCTGAACCAGGGTCCCAGGTGCCACCTTATTTTTATTTATTTATTTATTTTTTGGTCGGTCATGGGGCTTGGACTCTGGGCCTGAGCACTGTCCCTCAGCTCTTCAGCTCAAGGCCAATGCTCTACTGCTTGAGCCACAGCGCCACTTCCAGTTTTCTAGTGATTTATTGGAGATAAGAGTCTCACAGACTTTCCTACCTGGGCTGGCTTTGAACCTCGATCCTCAGATCTCAGTGTCCTGAGTAGCTAGGATTACAGGCATGAGCCACCAGTGCCCAGCTCAGGTTCCACCTTCTATTCATCGTTTTCCCCTAAAGGCCTTGGAGAAGTTGCTGGCCCATCCTTGGTCCATCTAAGACTACTGTGGCCATCCACACTCCCTTTGGTGTCCAGCATTATTATACATGCAACATATTCCGATCAACTTGGCCTCCAGGTGTCTCCCCTTTCCCAAAGGGGAACAGTTTTCCTTACAGGTGGAGGATGTATCTCACACCCCAAATTGTGCATAGCTCAAAAGATCTTTTTCTATATGTTCATACCTATTATGAAGTTTATAAATTCCTAAAAAGAGATAAACAACTGTACCTAATAACAAAATAGAACACATATAACAATATATTGTAATAGAGATTATGTGAATGTTCTCTCTCTCAAAATACCAAATTGCACTGGGATACTCACCAATCGATCAGATGACTGAAATGGCTCCTAAGTGATGAATAAGTGACTCGTGGGCACTGGGCCAGGCCCTGGGAGAGAATTGCTGTGGCGGATGTGGCCTGATCCTGCAAGGCACTGTGGTTCAAGGACAGAGGCGCGGCCAAGGGGGGAGGGGAAATCCTCACTGGCACAGGAGCTTGCAGGGGGAGCAGATGTGCCTGCAAGGGGCTGAGAAGGAGCCAGTGGTGAGACTCACCTGCCAGCCTTGCTTCTAATCTGGGGACAGCTTCCTAGGCTGGACCAGGCGGTCTGCCAGGGATCTAGTGTATATACTCCCAGTTACACAGTTGGGGCCTCTTAAGATTGTCCAGATTTAGACTAGCCCTCCTATTCAGGATAAGCAGAGGGGATATCAGAGGAGTGAAGAGAACAGCCAGGTGGTAAATGGTCAGGAGAACTGGAATAGAACTGACATTCTTGTCCTAACACCTTTAATTTTTTAGGGGGTGAAGGTCAAGGGGAAGAACATAGAGTATCCAGGGACTTTGCAACCCCTAGCTTAGCCATAGTTGTTTATGGTTCTTCCTAAGTGAACCATAAACCCACCCAAGGATTCACCCACTGTAATGCAGTCTCAAGTAGGAATGGGTCCCTTCCTTCTTTTCCTGTTCCGCCCATCCCCTCCCCTCCCTTCCTCCTTTCCCCTCCTCCCTCCCGCCCTCCCTCCCTTTTCCTGCCATTCTTGGGGCTTGAACTCAGGGTCTGGGGTGTTGTTCCTGATCTTTTTTGCACAAGGCTAGCACTCTTATCACTTGATCCACAGCTCCACTTCTGGCTTTTTGATGGCTCATTGGAGATAAGAGTCTCATGGACTTTGCTGCCAAGCCTGGCTTTGAATGATCATTCTCGGACCTCAGCCTCCTGAGCTGCTAGGGTTACAGGCATGAGCCACCAGGGCTGGCTTCTTGTTGTCTTTTAAATAGTGTGTTTCTATACATAGAGCTGCTACCCATGAAGATTTGCACGATGTGTGGCACTCCTATACCAGCTGGCTCCTTGGCATTATTCAGGTGCTAGCTGGAGATTAGGAGCTAATGTTTTCGCCTGTATGGTTGCTCCCAGAGAAATCCATCATGTGGGTGCAGGAGATGGACAGAGCTGGTTCTGCCCTGGATGTGGTCTGGAGGAAGCCTCTTAAGCCCTGTGGTGCTATGCTTTGTCCCTGTCCTGGAGTAGCCCCAGGTCATGGGCGTGGGGGCTCCTGGCCCTTGCTCACCTATGTGCTCTCTTGCAGGCTATCCTGATCACTTGGACAAAGCGGTTTAAAGCCAGTGGTGTGGAAGGAGCAGATGTGGTGAAGCTGTTGGATAAAGCCATCAAGAAGAGAGGGGTAATTCCTCTTGGGCTATGCAGAGTGGGGTGTGGGAGGGGGAAGCTGTTATAATGGACTAGGGTCCTTTTGGGGGGACAGTAGTACTGTGGTTTGAGACCCTTGCAGAGGAGAGATGAGGCTGCAGAGTGCGGCGGCAGGCCAGATGAGATTCAGTGCTGAGCTCTCAGAGGTGATGCCCATGGGCAAAGCCGAGAGCAGGGATGATCCTGATAGGACTTGTGGCTGTGGGGAGCTGCTGTCCTAGGTGCAGCCTGCCAGAGCTGGAACAAGAACAGAGATTCTCTCTTCTTGTAGGCACGGAGCCTCTTGTGCACTGGTTTGTGGAGGAATGTGGCTCCATGAGCAAAATCCTCTCCCCAAAGAATCCTAAGCTGGATCATTAAGGACACTGCAGGCCTGGTAGCAGTAAAGCCAGCAGTGCCCCCCCCATCCGTGCAATGGTGGTTAGGAGAACTGGAATGTACCTGCTAAACGCCCCTAAGCTGGGGAGAGAGTGCTTGCATGTGTGAGCATGTGGTGATCCCTCATTCATTTTCTGCCTCCAGGACTATGATGCCAATATTGTAGCTGTGGTGAATGACACGGTGGGGACCATGATGACTTGTGGCTATGACGACCAGCAATGTGAAGTTGGCCTGATCATTGGTAACGTCCCCCTTTCCTCCTGTGCCCAGTCCTTCACTCAGCCTCTCCCTGCTCCTATGGTGGCAGCTTCCCATGTTGTCTCTCCCAGGCACTGGCACCAACGCCTGCTACATGGAAGAACTAAGGCACATCGACCTGGTGGAAGGTGACGAGGGCAGGATGTGCATCAACACGGAGTGGGGGGCCTTTGGGGACGACGGGTCCCTGGAAGACATCCGTACCGAATTTGACAGAGAGTTAGACCGGGGATCTCTCAATCCTGGAAAGCAGCTGTGAGTCCTTGACCTTGGCTTCTAGTTTCACGTATGACATGGGACACTGAATGGAAGATTGGGGACCGGAGATGAAAGGACATAAAACCAGCCTTGAGCAGGCCCAGTCTGGAGTTCAATCCCAGTACCAGCACCAAAAAAAAGAAAGGAAGGAAGGAAAATTCAAAAGAGATGAGGAATTGTTGAATTGTATCACCTGGAAATTGTTGAATTGTATCCTGGAAATAGGCTTTTGCTGGAGCATATTTGTGCCATTCTCCCAGCTTCTGCCTGACTCTGGTCTTCCCTGTCTTTGTTTCACAGTGTATCAAGTTCTTCAGAGCTGTTGGTCTCCTGCTAGGGAAAGGTACTTGCTCATTTGACTGCTAGGGCACCATATCAGGGCAAAGTGGGCCCGGAATTGTTGAGTTTGGATCTGATGTCAGTTTGGGGTGTTCTGCTTTGTTTGAAAGTTTGAGGTTGTCAGAGTGAGCATACAGGGTGTTTAAGAGGTTTCTCTTCTCAGTTATGGACAAAACCCATCAAGGATAGTCTGGGGATTGATTTTTCCATTTAGACTTTGCAGAAGAATTATGTAAGGCCCTTAAAAAAAAATTGATCCTCAGTTGCCCTCTCAGCACCCCCTGGCCTCCCAATTCCAGTTCAGTTGGCTAAGGCTGGCCCATCCTCAGTATCATAGAAACTCCTGAGTGGTTCCAGTTTTTAACCAAGGCTAAATTTAACTATATGAGAGGTTTGTGAAGGCTCTCTGTGTCCAGGTGGGGTCTGGACCACTGCAGGCCATTTTGTAAATGATTCAGGGGGACCTACTATATACCTTGGTGGAGTGTATTGTCACAAGAGCAGTGTGTCTTTGTTCGTGATCTCTGTTTTTATTGGTGATTGTTGGAGGCAGTAGAAAGAACCATCCTGGGTACTGAAAACTTCAACCTTGACACCCGAACTAAAAGAATGCTTTTTACCCTTATCTTCTAGGTCTTTGATGTTCTTGTCAGGTACCTGTCTTCTACTGTTGGCTTTTGGTCCCCTTCTTTCCTTCTTTTCTTTTCTTTTCTTTTTGTGTGCTGGTCCTGGGGCTTAAACGCAGCACCTGGGCACTGTTCCTGGGCCTCTTTTTCTCAAGGCTAGCACTTTACCACTTGAGCCATGGCTCTACTTCTGGCTTTTTGGTAGTTAATTGGAGATCAGAATCTCATGGATTTTCCTGTTTAGGTTGGCTTTGAACCATGATCCTCAGATCGTAAGCTTCCTGAATGGTTAGCATTTCTGGCACCCGACCTTATTTTCTTTTTTATTGCCTATTTGGCCAGCTGGCAGCTGGACTGACTATGCTACCAAGGGAACTTCTAATTGGTATGTAGGCCCTGGGCCTGCTCAGAACCCCCTGGGCTCACCAAAGACAGGAGCACCACTGCACTGCCTCCCACTGCTGGGCTGTGGCCGGGGTTGTCTGGTTATTTTGAGGCAGATTTCCCTGGGGTGGAAGGGAGCCTGTCTCCACAAACCTTTGGTTTGAGCAGAGCAGGGCCCAGCAGAATGCTGTGGCTTCTTCTGCAGCTAGATGAGGATGGTAGAGCCTGGGAAGAGACAGAGCCTGGGCCTGGGCCTGGTGCCGTGGTATCTGAGTGTGTGAATAATCATTCTGAGTGCCTCTAGATAAAGCCAAATGATAAACAGTACAGAGGGCACTGGGAGGCTGGTGTTGACTCTTTCCTATCATGCTGCCCAATAGGGATCAGGCTGCCTGGGGAGAAAGTAAGCTGGAGGAGGATGAGCAGAACTACAGGGAGGGAGCTAGATGTCCAGTTGCTGTTGAATGACTCCATCCATGGAACAAGCAGCGTAGCAACACAGTAGTGTTTAGTTTAGCTGGATTGAAAATGTGAGGTGGTCACATGTTAGCAGTGTTCATGGATAAGCTCTGCAGCTCCTTGGTGCCTCAATTTCCTAATCTGTGAAATGGGGATGAGTTAATATCTGCCTTATAGAGCAATAATGGGAATAAAATAATATATATAAAGACCTTACAGATAGTAACAGACACCTAGGAAGGGTCATTATTAACCAGACAGCACAGAATTTGACCCATGAGACTCTGTGGTCTCTGTGTGACCTTGGAGCAAGGCCCTGCCATTTTCCTGACTACATAGGTAAGGAGGTTGAAGCCCAGGGAATGAAGAGGCAGTTGTGGAATCCGGCGTGAGCCTGATAGGCAGGCTGTTCCCAGCTCTGTAAGGACTGATGACACAGGAGCCCTGCCAGCAGCCTGGCAGCTGGCACTGAGCGCTCTCTCCTGCCAGGGATCCTCCACTGGCTGTGTCTGGACAGGCCTGTCTAGTCCTGCCAGAAGCTGGAACAACGAGGCCTGTGTTTCTAACAAGGCTCTATGTGTGTTGATGGGTGAGGCCAGCCCTCAAGTCCTAGCAGCAACCTTGGCTGCTGTGGCTCTGACTGGAGCAGATTGTTTTGCTATGTCACTGCCAGCCCTGGGGGCATCAGCAGGCTCCTTCAGAAGGGAGGCCTCCAATGTGGGTCTGCTCTATGGTCTGCCCTCTCCGGGATTCCTCTTGGCTCCTGGTTAGCCAGGGCCCAGGGCTGAATCTAGCCCTAGCTCACTGGCTCTGGGTTAGCTCTTGTCCTTAGTAAGTGTCTGTTTCCATCTTGGGCTCTAACAGAGTCACCCATCATGTTACATTCCCCTTGGGGAGCTGAGAGTACTGGTTTATTTTGGGTTTGGCCCATTGGCGGGATGAGCTGATTGGCCTTCAGTTACTCAGAGCCTGCCCTGAAGATCAGTAGGAAGGAGGCAGTTTCTCAAAGCAAAGATGAAATGTTAAGAAGATGAATGTTAAGACTATGACCAACAAATGCCTCACAATAGTCCTCTAGGGAATGGCTGCCTTTCCTCTGAGAAGACATTTGCCTTTTTATGCTGAGAAGTGGGGAGAATATCTCCTGGCCATCTTCTTAATTCAGGAGGGCTCCAAGTTTATGATAGAGTCATGGGGCTCCAAGTTTATGATAGAGGATTTTAACAAACACAGCATAACTTGGGGGCTGGTGGCTCATGCCTATAATCCTAACTACTTAGAAGGCTGAGATCTGAGGATCTAAGAAGCCAGCCAGGGCAGAAAAGTGCAAGACTGCTCTAATTAACCTGCAAAATTACAGACTAGATAGATGCACGGCTCAAGTGATTTGAAAACCCATCTGTGAGCAAGCAAGCTGAGAGCGCAAGGCCTTGAGTTTAATTCCCAGTACCAGTAGAAAAGGGAAAAAAAATTACAACATAAGAGAGCTGGTGTTAAGGCTCAGTTGTAGAGTTTCCTCCTAGCAAGTGAGGGATCCTAAGTTCAAAACCTAATACTGCCAAAAACAAAAGAGAAAGATCGTGGGCTTATGTAGTGGGATTGGTGTGGCTGCGTACTTAGCATTTATCATCTCCAACAACAACATAAACTACAGCAGAAGTCTAGGTGTAGTGATGAGTTCCAGACCAACCTGGGCTACATAGCACAATTCAAAACACAACAAAAGTAAAACTACAGCCAATAATTTTGTAAGAGATGATCATGTACTGTTCCGTTTTCTCCATTCTAGATGCTAATATTGCCCTGCCTCCAGGCAGAGCTCTCTGTCCACTCCTGCCCTTCTGTGTCCTCCTGACACAGGCTGGGCCTGGCTGGCCTGCTTGCTGGAGATGGCATCCTGATCTCCCATCACAATCACACAGGTGTATGCAGAGGAAGTCCTGACAGGTGCCTGTGCTTTTCTCCTGCAGGTTTGAGAAGATGGTTAGTGGCCTGTACCTGGGGGAGCTGGTCCGGCTGATCTTGGTCAAGATGGCCAAGGAGGGCCTCTTATTTGAAGGACGAATCACCCCAGAGCTGCTTACCAGGGGGAAGTTTAATACCAGTGATGTGGAGGCCATAGAAAAGTAGGTACCATCCTGAAGGCTTCTGGTGGAGGGGGACAGAGATGGGAATTGGGCTTTAGTCCAAGTGGAGGAAGCTTCCAGGTCCATCTCCCCTCCCTCAGCCCCTTCGTTCCATTGGTCTCATGGTAGGCAACTTGTGAGGTATTCTTAAAGGAGAACTCAGATAGCAGCAAATGCTTCTTGCCTAGTTAGGAAAGCATTTTTACATGCGCACATACACAGGCACACATGAATAAGATTTGAGTCCAGGAGAGTCCCATGGCTAATTCAGTCCCAGGCCTGAATTCCTGGAATTCCCTTTCTATATCATAACCTTCTCCAGACTGTATTCCAAGAACTCTAGAGACCTCAAGATGGTACTGGGGTAGATCTGGCAAATGCTCTCTATTAAGCTTCCTTTTAGAGATGTATCATGGCCCAAACCTTGTGCCTCAAATCCTTCTCCACCACCACAATTTTCAGAGAACGTTGTAGTCAGCCATAAACGTAAGTTTGAGAAACATTTATGAACAGTGATACCTGGAAGGTAGTCATAGAAGGGCAGGGTCCAGCCAGCACCTGGCTTTGGTGGCCCTTAAGGTACCTATGCCTAGAGTTCACTGTCTTCGCTGTTAGTCATAGGCCTCTGCTCTCAGAGGGATTGTAGGTAAGCTTGGCACCAGTGGCTGGGCAGTGTAATCCAGTGCCTTCAAGTCTATAGGACTCTTGTCTGTGGCTGGCATCCATATGCCACCTTTTTTTGTTCCAGGTTCAGGACACACCACATAGCTAGATGAGGCCATCTGCATGCAAGGAGTCATTTCCACTGCCCTCTCTGTGCTTCTGACAACCTGTGGAGCCATTGGCTTCACAGTGTCACAGAAGATATACAACAGTTGTCTTTGCCACTAGAGGAGGCCGCTGGCTCCTCTAGGCGTGTTTGGAGACTCACTACCTTGCATGCCTTGGTGCTTCAGGAGCTGTGGTGCAGAACCCCAGCTCTGAGTTTCCATCCTTTCCTCTTCTCAGGTCTCCTGGTCAGCTGCTAGGAAGGAGGGGGAACAGATAGATTACAGCTTAACTTCAGAGTCATTGGTAAGGTCAGGAAATGCCTGCCTTCCTCTTGGCTGCCTTCTGCTGTTGGCTCTTTGGCTACCAAGAAACATACATGTACGTGACCTAGCTGTAGAAAGCACGTGGATTGCAATAAAGGCTGTCTCCAAAGAATGTGCTCCCAGGGGACGTGTTAGACATCCTCCCTAAATTCACTATGGTATCTCTCTCTCTCTCACTGGCCTTGTGCTGGAGTCTTAGCAAGGTTTTTAAGAGGGAAGAAGAGACATGTAAGACATAGGAATCAAAAAAAAAAGGAAGAAGTAAAACTGCCACTGTTGCAAATGTAATTAAATGCCTCTTTGAAGCCTTCAAGGACATCTGTAGACAAATGACTAGAGTGACAGGAGAGCTTAGAGAGCTGAAGAACATAGTGGAGCATTAGAGTTCTATTTGTTCTCATTAAACCAGGGATATAGTTTTTGAATGAACTTGAAATTTATAGAGGATTCCTGCACATAATCTTCACCTAGGTTTCCTTTTTGCTTATACTACATCGAAGTGTGTGTGTGTGTGTGTGTGTGTGTGTGTTATGAGAGAGAGAGAGGTGGGGGGGAGAAGAGTTTTAAGGTAGTATGTACAATAGCAGCAAAACTCTGAAGTACTTGTGAACAACCAAAGATACAGAAGACATACAACAGCAGAAGATTAAAATTTGGCTGAAAACCGCTAGGAAAGTATAAAAGCAACTCTCACATCCTATAAGAGGGGTTTCCACTGGCAGGCCTTGGGAGTACGGTACTTTTTCCACCTGCTCAGTGGCTACGTGGTCTTGCCTGTGCATTTTCATCTGTGTGCCTGGCATGTCATAATCCAGTCTGGCACAGTTTTCCCATGACCAGTCCATATTTCCTATGGGGGAAGCTACTCCTTAGGCCTTTGACAGTCTCAGTCCCAAGCAGATTTCAGGTGGGTCCCACACTCCCTGTCCCTTCTGCACTGCTGGTGCACTCCTGAACTAACTGCCGGCCTCCAACCCACAGGAATAAAGAAGGCCTCCACAATGCCAAAGAAATCCTGACCCGCCTGGGAGTGGAGCCATCTGACGATGACTGTATTTCGGTGCAGCACGTGTGCACTATTGTCACATTTCGCTCAGCCAACCTGGTGGCAGCCACACTGAGCACCATCTTGAACCGGCTGCGTGATAACAAGGGCACACCCAGGCTGCGGACCACTGTTGGTGTGGACGGCTCTCTCTACAAGACGCATCCACAGTGAGTTTGCCCTTTGCTCAGCTTGGCTCTCCCTACTCAGCAGAGGCTAAAGCCCTTTTCCAAGGGTCAGACTTGTGCATCGAGGGAAGGTTTGTTATTTCTGGGTTTTTTTTGGCAGACATGACAATGCCTACTTCTGGGAAGAAAGGTTACAGTTCCCCATTTGGTTTGGTTTTCATTTTGTTTTTTCCAGACAGGATCTTGCTATTTCAACTCCCCATCCCCTCTTTTCCCCCCAAGGCCTTCTCACACCAAGGCCTTGATTGAACTCATGATCTTCCCTGCCCCAGCTTCTTGAGAGCTGGGGATTATAGGCATTTATCACGAAGTCTGATGGCGTTGTCCATTTGGGAAGTCTCACCCTCAGTAGATTTTTCCTGGTATTACTCTTACATACTTTCTCTCTCTTCATTTCCAAACTTTCCCTAGAGATTTCTCTGGTGACCAGGAGCCTTGGGTACAGTGTGTCTGCCTTTCATGGGGAGGAACTTTATCCTTATTATAGTGTATGTCACAGATGTGGTCTACATTCTCCTTTTAGAAACTTCACACTATAGTACAACCCACCAGACCCTCAGACATTATTTGTGTATGTGTGTGTGCACGCATGCACATATGCTTGTATCGGAACTTGAACTCGGGGCCTGAGTGATGTCCCTTGGATTTTTGTTTAAGTGTAGTACTCTACCATTTGAGCCACATCGCCACGTCAGGCTTTTGGTCTGGTACTTTCCTGCCTCAGTTGGCTTTGAACTTTGATCCACAGACCTCAGCTTCCTGAGTAGATAAAATTGCAGGTGTGAGCCACCAGCATCCAGCTTAGACATTACTTTTTTGAATGAGCAACTTGTTGACTTGGTGAGCAGAGATGGAGATGTATGCTGTAGATAATCCCGTTGTTGATGAGGACCTCTGCTGCCACCTTTGCCAGTCCCTGCACTGGCGGACCTTAATGTCCAAAAGTGGTCTTGGCCAAGGATAATATTGCTGGGCATTTTATAAGTGGCTAAAAGTTAATTCTGTCTTTAGTAAATTTGAGAAATTGCCTGTGGCATTTTGTGGGCAGGACCTTAGGTTTCATGCAGATGCAGGGTCCTAGAAAGTACTCTCCCTTCACCCCCAGCTCCGGGACAGTTAGGTCAATGTAGATTTAAGTGGCAATACTTCTGTGTTGCCAAGGGGAAAGGATTTGTTCTATTGTTATTTGGCAAGAGTATAATTCTGTAATTTAAATAAAATTTTTTTAAACATAGAATTGTAGCCAGGCGCTCATGGCTCACGCCTGTAATCCTAGCAACTCAGGAGGCTGAGATCTCAGGATCGAGGTTCAAAGCCAGCCTGGGAAGGAAAATCCTGGAGACTTATCTCCAATAAACCACCAGAAGACTGGAAGTGGCACTGTGGCTCAAGTGGTAGAGCACTAGCTTTGAGTTGAGAGCTGAGGGACAGCACTCAGGCCCAGAGTTCAACCCCCCATCACCACCAAAAAAATGAAAACAAACCATAGAATTGTACTCATTACCTAACATCTTAATAAAAACAATGAAATTATATTTTAAAAAATAAATTTAAAAAATTATAGTCATGGCTCAGCAATAGAGCAGTTTCCTAGCCAGCACCTGAGTTCAGTCTCCAGTACTGCACATTGTGTGTGTGTGTGTGTGTGTGTGTGTGTGTATGAAATAGTTTGTAATGCAACTAGCCATCTATTCCTTTGGACTTTCTTTCTCACCTCAAGTCCCCTGTAAGAAGCTATAACTTGCTTTGTGGACCATGTAGGTCTCAAACTCCTGATTGAACACAGCAATTTTTTTGCCTCAGCCTCCCAAGTAACTGGAATGTACAGGTACCTCACTGTACCCATTTTTTTTTGTTTTCTTTTGAAATTTATTGGCTAATTTTTGGAACAGAAAGCCTAAGGATTTGCAACCTCATATTGAGTTTTTTAAATGTGGTAAAGCACACTTAAGATATATTAATTTTGAACTATTTTAAAATGTACAGTTTGGTGGTGTTAACATCTATATTGTTGTGCAGTCAGCTATATTCAAACCTTTATCTGCAAGTTCACATTCTAAATAACTGTGTGTGTGTGTGTGCGTGCACACACACGCACACACGCGTGTGCATGGGTGCACATCCACCAGTTCTGGAAATTGAACTCAGGGCCTAGACACTGCCTCTGGGTTTTTGTGCTCAAGGCTAGTGAGTACTTGAGCCAAAACCCCATTTCTGGCTATTTTGGTAGTTAATTGGAGATACAAGTCTGGCTTCAAACCCCAATCCTCTGATCTCAGCCTCCTGAGTAGCTAGGATTACAGGTATGAGCCATAGGCACTTGGCTCAGAGTAGAAACTTTATAGACAGTCCAAAAAGTTATGAAAAGCACCATGTATTCTTATCCGTAGCCAGGTGTGGCTGAGTTTTGCAGAAGAAAGCCTTAGTATTTTTCACATTGTTAATATTTTTATTATCTTTTTTCCTGTTTTTTTTTTTTTTTTTTTTTTTTGGCAGATAGCCCTCCATGCAGGAAGCCAATTTCCGTGTGTCACACAATCCTAAATTTTCTTCTTGCCACCAAACAGGCTCCATACTTTTGTGGGGAGGAGGAGAAGGGAAAGAGCCAAGTGAAAATAAAAAACAAGAGCAATAACTTACTAATCCTTTCTCCTAATCTCAGCATTTAATAGACTCATTCAGTTTGCCCCATACCTTGTAGCCAAACACCAGAATCCTTGTTTACTCCAAGGTTAAGTAACTGGCTCAGAGTCACCTTATGTGGAATTTGGGGGGGAATCACTTGTTTTTTTCTTTTCTTTTCTTTTCTTTTTTGTCAGTTGTGAGGCTTGAGCTCTAGGCTTGGGTGCTGTCCCTGAGGTCTTTTTGCTCAAAACTAGCCCTCTACCACTTTGAGCCACAGCACCACTTCTGGTTTTCTGTTGGTTAATTGAAGATAAAAGTCTTACGGATTTTGTTGCCTTGGCTAGCAGATCCCTTAGCCTCCTGAGTAGCTAGGATTTCAGGTATGAGCCACTAATGCCTGGCCACTCCTTTTTTTGATCTGACTTTGGAGCATTGTGTTTTTGACCACTATGGTATATCTTATGGAAGGGCAAAATCCCTTTGGACCTCAGCTTTTTATATTCATTACTCATAAAATGATGACAAAAATCTCTCTCTCTCTCTCTCTCTCTCCCTCTCTCCCTCTCTCCCTCTCTCCCTCTCTCCCTCTCTCCCTCTCTCTCTCTCTCCCTCTCCCTCTCTCCCCCTCTTTCTTTCTTTTTTTTTTTTTTTGGTCCGGTCGTAGGGCCTGAACTCTGGGCCTGGGTGCTGTCCCTCAGCTCTTCAGCTCAAGGCTAGCACTCTACCATTGAGCCACAGCGCCACTTCCCGCTTTTTTTTTCTGCTTACGTGGTGCTGAGGAATCAAACCCAGGGCCTCATGCATGCAAGGCAAGCACTCTACCACTGAGCCACCTTCCCAGCCCCTTTCCCCCCTTCTTTCTTACAGCTGGTCCTCTACCACTTGAGTCATGCTTATAGTCCAGCATTTTGCTGGTTAATTGGAAAGGGAATCTTGCATACTTTTCTGCCAGGGCTGTTATTCTCAGATCTCAGCCTCCTGAGTAGCTAAGATTGCAGATTCCAAGTGTCCAGCTGAAACCTCTCTTTTTACGTGTGATTGAGGACAATATGTTTTTTTACTGGTCTTCATTTACTGCCTTTTCTGTAGTGAATGAGTAGGACTTGCTTGACAACCCAAAGCCAGTGTAGAGCATAGAATGAAAGCACCGTGAATGATGGCCCAGTACTGCTAAAGTGCTCCTCCTTGCCCTCCCTCCTTCAGGTATTCCCGGCGTTTCCACAAGACCCTGAGGCGCCTGGTGCCTGACACTGATGTGCGTTTCCTCCTCTCGGAGAGCGGCAGTGGCAAAGGAGCTGCCATGGTGACTGCGGTGGCCTACCGCCTGGCCGAGCAGCACCGGCAGATAGAAGAGACCCTGGCCCACTTCCGCCTTACCAAGGAGATGCTGCTGGAGGTGAAGCAGAGGATGCGGCAAGAAATGGAGATTGGGCTGGCGAAGGAGACACATGAAGAGGCCACTGTCAGGATGCTGCCCTCCTTTGTCAGAAGCACCCCGGATGGAACCGGTGAGGGGCTGTGGGTTGTGTGGCCACGGCCCAGGGACAGCGGGGCTGGGGGAGCTGCATCCTCCCGTGGACTGGCTGTGCAGGATGTGGCAGGAGCTGGGAACTCACTCACCTGTATGCCATTGTTATGTATGACTCATTTGTTGTGTGAGAGGCTCAGGGCACATCATTTCCTCCCATTAGGCTGTTGGAAAGTGGGCTTCAAACTGGGAGGGAAGGGTGAATGCACACAATTCATGAACAAGGCTGCCTTCTTTAGTCCTGGCAGGGTGTCCTGGGGAGAAGGGCCTAGGGCCTTGCATGCCTGAGTGGATTGGAGAAAACACCCAACCCCTATTCTATTCTTCCTTGTCCTAACTAGAGCTGAGCTCTTTGGAGACCCTGAATAACTTTTGGAGAGGCTTCTTTGAATAATGAATGTTTGTGATATGATACATCTTATGTATGTTACTTTGTGTGTGTGTTCGTGCACGCATGTGTGCCAGTACTGGGGCTTGGACTCAGGGCTTCAGTTTCTCACTTCCTTTTTCACTCAAGGCTAGCACTATACCACTTGAGCGATATCTCCACTTCAGCTTATTATTATTATTATTATTAATCTTTAAGTAGTTCTACAAAGGAGTTTCAGTTCAGCATGTCTGCTTGTGAATACAGTGCATCTTGATCAATGTCACTTCTTTCCCATCTCTTCCAAATGTCACTTCTGGTTTCTTGCAAGTTAATTAGCGATAAGAGTCTCATGGACTTTTCTGCCCAAGCTGGCTTTGAACCATGATCCTCAGATCTCAGCCTCCTGAGCAGCTAAGATTACAGGCATGAGCTATCTGATGCCTGGCCTTGCCACACTCTTGGTCCAAGATCCAAGGTTGGGAAGACACAAACTCCGTCTTTTGGTTGGAGAACTGCACAGCCACGCTACAAAAGATGGTGTAGGAAAGGGAACAATAATATACATCAGTGTAAATTAGTCATTTTTATGTGGGGTTCCCTAAAATCGGTGCATTGTGCTAGGCTTCTTAGTTACCCTAGTGAAGCTTGTTTATTGTGACAGTGATTGACTCGTGAGACCTTTTGTCCTTTAGTATGGCCCAGTTCCTGTGTCAGGGTTCCGTGGCTACCGTTCTCTGAGCCTGCAGGATGGATTGATGGGAAATGGGATTACAGTTTCTAAAACTCTTGCTAATCTGGGGTTTCTGGGTTATTGGCTGCCTAGAAGCACTTAGCTCTCTGTGACCTTTGTGCTCCTTGCTGTCTGTAACAGAGAATGGTGACTTCTTGGCCCTGGATCTCGGAGGAACGAATTTCCGTGTCCTGCTGGTGAAAATCCGTAGTGGGAAAAAGAGAACAGTGGAAATGCACAACAAGATCTATGCCATTCCCTTGGAAATCATGCAGGGCACCGGGGAAGAGGTAAGCAGCACTGAACTTACACTCCCAGAATGTGTGTGTTATACACAAGGCCAGTGGCTGTTGGTAATCATGTGATATCTACAGCCTTATACCTTGGGACCTTGTGGGCCACAACGTTGGGTACCTTCGGCCATGCCTTCCCAATGGTGATAGGGGTTGGGAAAGTCCTGAGAGTCTTATGCTGTAGACATTAAGAATGTGCACATATGTGTGTATGTGTACTTAATGCATATGTGCTATAAGTGTGAAAGCTGATCGAGCCTATGTGATCTCTTCTTATCTCCTAAAGCTTTTTGACCACATTGTCTCCTGCATCTCTGACTTCCTGGACTATATGGGAATTAAAGGGCCCCGGTTGCCTCTGGGCTTCACCTTCTCCTTTCCCTGCAAGCAGACAAGTCTGGATGCGGTGAGTCTTTTCTGAGGTTTGTCAGTACCTCGGACAGCACTGAGTGGCAGTGGCCCAGGTGGGCTGTCCTGTGAGGTCTTCTCCAGTCATACCTGGGTACCCAAGATGGACTCACAGGTCACAGTGGGTCAACCCAGGCCTTCCTTAACCCCCTCCAGCACATCCTAAGACTATTCTGATGAGAGCATTCGCTCCTTTGGAACCTCCATCACAAAGAACCTTGCCCTCTGCTGCCGCCTATAATACTATAGCTCTGAGCACTTTTGGTAACTGCTTTCTTTTTGGCTAGTATGTACTCTCCAAGCAAGGACCTGTGTAGTCCATTGCTTAGTGCAGTGTTCTGTCAGCAGAAAATCACTGTGATACTTGCTCAGTAAATGGAATATCAAGCCTTGGGCACTGAACAGAGGGTTATGAGGCTGCCCTCAGGGAGTCTCACAGTTTCATCTGTGCTCAGTGCCTATCAGGAAGGTCTGTGGGGGGAGGGGGGAGGTGGGGGTAAAGTAGGGATGAGAATGGGGTGGAGTGGGCAATATTGTAGACAGAGGGAGCAGAGAGCAGTCATTGAGTCAAAACCAGCCCGTCTGCTGCAGAGCTATGTGGTTCAAGTGGAAGCGTGGCCAGGATTAAGGCCATGTCTAGCATTGTGCAGGGCCACATAAGGCGATGTAATACAGTTTCGTGCTGATGTAGTTAGTGCCTTTCCTCCTTTTTGATCTTAGCAATAAGATCTGTGTACACTTGTTTTTTCAGTTTTCAAAGGACTTGTGTGTGTCTGTGTGTGTGTTGTTGTTATGGAGACAAAATCTGGCTATGTAGCTCAGACTGGTCTTGAACTTGACCCTCCTGCCTTTATTTCCCAAATACTGGGTTTACAGGTGGGAATCACCATACTCAACTTCATATGTTTTGTTTTGTTTCATTTTGTCTGTTGTGGGGCTTGAACTCTGGGCCAGGACACTGTCCCTCAGCTCTTCAGCTCAAGACTAGCACTCTACACTTGAGCCACAGTGCCACTTGAGGTTTTCTCATGGTTTATTGGAGATAAGAGTCCCATCTTTCCTGCCCAAGCTGGCTTTTAACTGTGATCCTCAGATCTTAGCTAGTATTACTGGGCTGAGCCACCAGTGCCTGGCTTGTTTTTGTTTTAAAGCTCCTTATCTTTATTATAATGCATACCTGTGATACTTTTTATCCAGCAAGTGTGTTACTTTAGTCCAACCACACCTAAAATTTCCTTGGGAGTAATGCAATGTTAACAAAATTTGCATTTCTTTACTTAATGTGGTCAGAAAACACTTCTGGGGAATTACTTGTTTGTACCATGGATGGCACCAGGCTAAGAATCAGGCTAAAAATGATCCACCATTACCATTTTCTTGTTAAAAAAAAAATTCCTTAAGTCACTTTATTGTTGGTATCAGGGATTGAACTTAAGACTTTGCCTATAGCTTGGTTTGTTTGACTAGTTCTGTACTACTTGAGCCATGCCTCCAATCCAACATTTGGGTGGTTAATCGGAGATGAAGTCTCACAGACTTTGTTGCCTGTGTTTGCTTTGAGCCGTGATCTTTCAGTTCTCAGCCTCCTAAGTAGCTAGGATTACAGCCATGTGCCACCAGCACTTGGGACCAATGTCTTTTTAAATGCTCAATATCAATGCTGAGGAATCCTCAAAACCAAAAGCCTAGTGCATATTAGGCAAGTTCTCTACCACTAAACAACACCCTCATACCATGAACTTTATGCCTCAGTTTGTCCATTCATGAAATGGGGATTATAAATCAGACAGACTGGAGGCTGTCTGGCGCGTTACTCTGGTGTTTATGCATTGTCAGAATGTAAGGTCTCTATAGCTTTACCAGGGAGGGATGTTTAATTGACAAGTTGTCTGGTGCCCAGAACGTTTAATCACCGGGTTGTGCTGGTGTTTCTCATGTTTCAGGGAGTCCTAGTCACCTGGACAAAAGGTTTTAAGGCAACGGACTGCGTTGGTCATGATGTAGCCACCTTACTAAAGGACGCAATAAAAAGGAGAGAGGTAACTGTTATAGCAATTAGTAATGTTTGTAAAGCTATTTACTGCTTTTGGGGGGTTATAAAAATTGTACCAGCTTGTTAGGATTTGGAAGAAGCTAGAACCTGGTGGCTCATGCCAATAATCCTTGATGCTCAGGAGGTTGAGATCTCAAGATCGTGTTATGTGACTTGTCTAATAGAAGTTCTCCATTTTCTTGCTCAATTGCCAGCCATTAAACCGGAGTCATCACTTTTCCATGTTGAAGTATTGAAAAGAAAATACTGATTTTTGAGACAATATCTTTCTGCCCTGTAGCCTTGGCTGGCCTCAAACTCACCATCTTTTTTTCTCTGCCTCTCGAGGGCTGGGATTATGGGTATGTTGTATACCAGCACTCCTGGCTCTAGTATGAAATTTTTAAAGAAAGGTAAAATCATGACTCTCATATGAATGGAGAAAGAGAAAAGCACACCTATACATAGCCTGGTACTATCAGCTGGACATGGCATGCTAATGAACATGGTTTTCTAGAACGCAGGCATCATACATGACTTCTGCTGGCGTGATAGAGTGACATGAAGAGTAATCAGGTAGTAATCATGCCATAATCATGTCAGCATTCAGGAGTAGTGTAAAATTTGCCTTGTTTCCTGACATCTTCATGGCCAGAGAAAACCCCAGGATTGCTGAAATAGGACTCAAGCCAGACCTACTTGCTGCTTCCCTAAAGCCACGCCCTTTTCTTTTCAAAGGAATTTGACCTGGATGTCGTGGCTATGGTCAACGACACAGTGGGCACCATGATGACCTGTGCCTACGAGGAGCCCACCTGTGAGATAGGACTTATTGTAGGTAGGTGTCCTGGAAGGGTCTCTAATTGGGAAAGGAAGGCTAGGTGCAGCAGGGCAGCCCACTGGAGCTATGTGGGGTCCCCAGGACATGTTGAAGGAGTTAGGGGGTCAGGCTAGAAGTGGTTATGAGAGAGGGGAAGGACAAATGAACCACTTCCCTTTTCTGTATAGATTACAGGGACTTGATGGAAAGTGTATTGGGGTTTTTTTTGTTGGTGGTGGTGGTGGTAAGGCTTGGACTCTGGGCTTTGGCACTGTCCCTGAGCTCTTCAGCTCAAGGCAAGCACTCTACCACTTGAGCCACAGCTCCAGTTCTGGTTTTCTGGTGGTTAATTGGAGATGAATCTGATGGACATTTCCTGCCCAGGCTGGCTTTAACCTCAATCATCAGATCTCAGCCTCCTGAGCCAGATGTGAGCCACTAGCACCTGGCTGGAAAGTGTTTTGAGAGGTCTCACAGAAGGAGAACCTCACAAGGTGGAAGTTGAGCCAAGATTTATTTTAGTTGAACAGGATAAAGTAGGGAGAAATAGGAGAGGAGAGAACCCTCTGCTTTACCTCTAGAAGGTAGGGCATTGGTGGATCTTATTGGTCTCTCTATTTCTACAGCTAGTGAATACATGTGCGTAGGTAATCTTGCAGTCTAGTGACCTCTGCTCTGAGCCCTTGCTTGATGGAAATGACCAAAGAACCAAGTACTTTGGATCTTATTTGGCCAGAGGGCATAACCTTGAATTGTCCTCTTGATGTTAAAGGTCCACACTATCCCACCTAGATTAGGTGCTCCAGGGCCTGGGTGTGGAATGGGTGGTCCCCTTGGCCTGCAGCTGTACCTTACCTGGGAGCTGGTGCCAGAGTCCAGTGACTTTCCCTCTGTCATAAGACCATCTTCTCAACATTAATATTGCCCAGGTTAGGTTAATATAGTCAGACTAGGCATTGCTCGAGCTACTCAGGAGGCTGAGGTCTAATGATTGTGGTTCAAAGCCAGCCTAGGCAGGAAAGACTGTGAGACTCTTATCTCCACTTAACCACCGAAAAGCTGAAATGGAACTGTGGCCCAAGCATCTTTCTTGAACTCAGCACCTTGGATAGTGCCCAGGCCCTAGAGAACCTAGGGAAAGCAAAGCTGTCTTGTTCTTATCCATGTAGTCACAGACCCCAGGCTTCAGGCCCTGCGGCTCAGCTCCCAGGCATAGCGGCCTCATCATTCATCTCATTGTGTGTTGCAGGGACTGGCTGTAATGCCTGCTACATGGAGGAAATGAGGAACGTAGAAATGTTGGAAGGGGACCAAGGCCTAATGTGTATCAACATGGAGTGGGGTGCCTTTGGGGACAATGGGTGTCTGGACGATATCAGAACCGAGTATGACAGAACAGTGGACGAATATTCTCTAAACACTGGGAAGCAAAGGTAACTGTCGGGCAGAGGAAGCCCCTAAGGGACAGGATGGGGAGAGTGTTGAGCAGCACTTATTACAGTAGAAGTTTCTAGTAGGACTGAGGTTTGGGCAAAGGCTTGGGAACTGATCCCTCTGGTTTACTCCTCTTGGCTTCTGGCAAAAAATCCCCAGGGAGATGGGGCACATGGGGCACTGATAGGGGACAAGAGAGTCGTAGAATATGCCTAGAGGGCAGGTGTCAGCGGACATACCACTGCCTCAGTGGCCTTTTTCTGGCCTGGGAGAATTTGGCCCTCCAGTCGCTCTTCCTTTCCTACTCATAGGAATAATATACGAAGGGTAGGGTATTATACCTAGGCTCTGTTTCAATTCCTCCATCCCGTTGCAAGCTCCTGCACCCCCTAGTGGCTTTTTACAGCTTTGCAGTTGGCCAGGGGACTGGACTGAAATGTCAGTGTCCGCTCAGAAATAAAAGGAATAGCTATTCTAACTCGCTAAAAATCATGCAATGATAGCCAGGACAAGCTGGCCCAAGTCAGGTCCCATGGAGCAGGAAGGTGGGCTCTGATTTGACCTTAGGAGTGTGTGATCCTTCAATATTTTTTTTGGTCTATGTGGTCTTATCCAGCTGCATTGTGCTTTATCAGCCCCGGGTGGTTCTGCAACTTTTAAAGAAACACAGGAACTTTCCTTTGCCGTCTTTTCATTCCATTAACCCTCGTATACTTCTGTGCTGGACTGTGTCCTGTGATTTGGGAGTTGAGAGACACACTCCCTGTCCTCAGGGCTGTCAGTCACTGCGGCGGTGGTGACAGGAGACTGCGAGCCTGTGTGCTGCTAAGGAGAAGGAGAAGAATGTGGTGTGAGGGAGCCTGAAAAAGGCAGGCAGAGCCCGCGTGGGGAGCACTATGGTAGGGCCCTGTTGGGGACAGGGCATTTGGCCAATAGGGATTCAGCCAGGCAAAAGCAGGAAGTCCATGGGAGAAGGAGACCAGCTATAGGCTTTGTGTTGGATGGGGGCGGAGAGGTTCCTGGTCCTTCCTGGTACTCTCTGCCTCATGGGGCACCACAGGGCAGGTCTGAGGCTCTGCCCTGGAGGGGTAATAAGAGACCTGGAGTGACTGAGAACAGGGGCTAGTAGAGAGCTATTAGTCCTCTTCTCCTGCACCAGGTATGAGAAGATGATCAGTGGTATGTACCTGGGTGAAATTGTCCGCAACATCTTGATTGACTTCACCAAGAGAGGATTCCTCTTCCGAGGACAGATCTCTGAGCCACTCAAGACCCGGGGCATCTTTGAGACCAAGTTTCTCTCTCAGATTGAGAGGTGAGTGGGGAGGGAATTCTGCTACCAGACTGTGCTCTAGTACTCTAGGTGCCTCGTATAAGTAGAAACGTACATTGTTTGCCCTTTTATGTCTGGCATATTGCACTTAGTGAAATGTTTTCATGGTTCATCCAAGTTGTAGCCCGTATCAGCATTTCCTCATGGTTTTTCCCTTTACATTTGTTTCGGATGGTACTGGAGTTTGAACTCAGAACCTTGCACTTGCTAAGCTGATATGATAATGCTGAGCCATGCCTGCGGCCCTGATAGTTGCTGGTTGTCCATCACAGTGACCGGTTAGCGCTGCTCCAAGTCCGCGCCATCCTTCAGCAGCTGGGTCTGAACAGCACATGCGATGACAGCATCCTGGTTAAGACAGTGTGCGGCGTGGTGTCCAAGCGGGCTGCCCAGCTGTGCGGCGCAGGCATGGCTGCCGTGGTGGACAAGATCCGAGAGAACAGAGGGCTGGACCATCTGAACGTGACCGTGGGGGTGGATGGGACACTCTACAAGCTGCATCCCCAGTGAGTACAGCTTCTTCTTGGATGGGCGGAGTCTGCTGGGCTGAATCACAGGCATTGGGGCGTGGCTTCCACCAGGGCAAAGCCTCCTGGGGGACCAGCAGCCTGAAGCTGTGTATCCATGGATAGTGGGCAGCTCTGAGTTTGACTGCGACTCTTGTCTAGCTCACAGTATGAGGTGACTCACCCTGCGTTTCCTGACCCCTGTCAGGTGGGAGCGAAAAAGGAGGAGAATGGATGTAAGCTGACCCATCCAGCAGGCCAGCTGCAGTCATGCTGGAAGGCTGGGCTTGCTCCATAGGAGAGGAATCTAAGAAGAGGGGAGGAGGGCTGGTTGTATTCATCTACAGATTTGGAGCTTCTGGAAATACAGAAGAACCAGTTTGGTCCTTTGGCTCTAAGGCAGGGGAGGGCAGGGAGTGCCTGGCCTCCTTTTGGCCAACTATCTGATACCCCAGTTGGGGGGGGGAACATGTGACCCCCATCTGCTCACATCATTTGGCTCCTATGATCAAGTGACTATTTATAAGCTTGGGGTACATTTATCAGTAATTACTACTAATAATGACCAGTGGTTCCATCCCAGATAGACCGGGCCATAATGTCATAGTCCTTACAAGCAACCTCACCTAACTCTGCAGACATTCCCTACTTACCTCATGCCATGCTTGGGATAAAGGATCTTTCTTGCTCCATCCTTATCTCCATCTCCCATCTTCATTGCTGTCATCATCACTACTGGTGGCACAGGAAGGGGAGTCATAAACTTTGTGGTGTGTATGTGTGTGTGTGTGCGTGCGCATGCACGTGTGTATGTGTGCGCGCGTGCTCATGCATGCTGTGGTACTGGGGTTTGAACTCAGAGCCTGGGTGCTGTTCTTTAGCTTTTTTGCTCTGCCACTTGAACCACAGCTGTACTTTTGGCTTTTTTGGTGGTTAATTGGAGAGAAGAGTCTCATGGACTTTCCTGCCGGGGCTGTCTTTAAACTGAGATCCTCAGATCTCAGCTTCCTGAGTAGCTGGGATTACAGATGTGAGCCACTGGTTCCCGGCTGGAGTCATATACTCTTACCCTTAGTCCTGGAATCACATAGAAGCTGTTCTCAGTAACTTCACCTCTGCCAGGTCTTGTCTTCCTCCTGGGATTGCACAAACTGGCCTGGCTAGAAATTGTATATGAAATGTAGATGCCTAGTAGGTGCCCATCAAAGGCGGGGATAACTTCTGAGACCCTAATTCTGGCCCTGGCTTTTCCTTTTCAGCAGAGTGATTGTCCCAGAGATTGTCCCTTGGAGAGAGGGCTACCTTCTCTTGCTGAAGGGGCTGTGGCCAGTGTTAGGCTGGGGGGCAGGGGTGGAGTCTCAGGGCTGAAGGTGAGGTGGTAGTACTGTTTGTTCCCATGTGTCCCGAATCGACCCAGTGCTTGGGCCTGCCTTGGGGAGGGGGGGACCCTTGCATAGACCCCAGCATCCTCTTGCTTATCAGATCCCCTAGGAGCCCCAGGCTCTGAGGAAGGGTGTCCTGAGTATTACTTGTCCCCTGGCTCTCCCAGGCTATACTGATAGCTTTGTTTGGAGTTCTCACGTGTGCCCCTGCTGGAGATGGTAATAAGAGCATGGTTGTAAATCCTGTGGACTTGAGCTGCTCTTGGCGGGCCGATCTTCCTCTGCCTCATTGTTGGGAGTTGAGTGTTGTCAGCGGGGACTGGCTCCTCCTCTCCTGCCCTCTTCTCCCTACCTTCTCCTCTATCTTGTCTTGCAGCTTCTCCAGAATCATGCATCAAACCGTGAAGGAACTGTCACCGCAGTGTAACGTGTCCTTCCTCCTATCCGAAGACGGAAGTGGCAAGGGGGCTGCCCTCATCACGGCCGTGGGCGTGCGGCTCCGAGAAACCAGCAGCTAAGAGCCAGGAACCCCAGCCTGCTGCCCTTCCAGCTCTTCTCTATACAAGCGATGACCCCCCCCCCCCTTGTTCCACCCAGCGAGCCGTGCTGGGCGACCCTGGCACCAGAGCCTGCCTTGCCAACGTGGGAGGAGAACAGAACCCAACCAATGGCGCCTCACGTAGGGTCCCACATAGAGTGTATGCTGTTGATAATCTCTTGCCCGGACCCCTCTCACTGCCCTGCCACTCTGCATGATTTGATCTCCACCCAGCCGTGCATCCCCCACATGTGAGGTGTAGCGGCATCCCTCCCTCGGGCGCCCCGCCAGCCGAGCCATGGCTGGTTCAGATGAAGACTCACACCATCCCACAGGCCTGAGGGCCTCCGGAGCCCGTCCTTGGGGTCACCTCCTCCGAGTCAAATGTATTATCACCAGCAGACACTGCCGGACCCCCTCTCCCAGGGCGGGGAGGGGGCGGGGGGGGGGGGGAGAGGGAAGGCGTGGCCTGAAGGGCAAGTATGGATGTGGCGTTACTGCTGGTCCGTCCTAGCCCCCCTGTGCAGCCTGGCATGCCATCAGGAGGAGTCAGTGCCACTAAGTTGCGTGTCCGTGGACCTGGTCCTAGCCACATTGTGATAGTCTTGCATTCTGTGTGTCTCCTAGGGGGGTTGGGGGAGGTGGGAAGTCACGCGGGAAAATGTGTTGTCTCCATCAGAGTAAGAAAGGAACCAGCCCACACATGATGCCATCACTGGAATTTCCCATCGCTTTTGTGAGCCATGTTGTATGACTAGTAAACTTTGTACCGATTCAAACCAACCACCCGAGTGATGCTTGCTGCTGGGGGAGAAGCAGGGGGGAGATCTTGGCATGTGGCAAAAACCAGATGTTGGGATTTTTTGTGGCCTCCTGGGTGTGGGGGAAGATTTAAATAAAATTATGGTCTGTAACCCCCAGCTTTGGTTTGGCATGAGGAGTTCAATACTGGCCCTACAGAATACAGAGACCTAGGCTCTCCTCTCAACTGGTCTCCCAGCTCCAGCCCTGCTCGTTTCTCCTCTAGTCCCAATATCCTGAACCCTTACCCTAGGACCTGGAAGAAGGGAAAAAAATGAATCCTCTGTCTTCCTCCTGTGCTAGGACAAAGGAAAAGTGAACAGGTTGGCTTCATTGGGTTCAGTGGGAGGACGGACGGTGTGGCTGTACTACCCACAGACCTTTCTATGACAGCCAGTGACCCTTGACATCTGGTGGCAGCCCAGGGAAGTAGAATAGCCATTCTCTTTTCCTAAGTCCTAACAAGCAGTCCACAGGAAATAAGCTTTGTCTGACTCTTACCTTACCCTAGCCTTCAAGACTGCTATTTTGGATTTTCCTCTGGAAGATTCCACCACAGGGCGTCCAGGCACCTGTGGTGTCCCTGTGATGAGCAGCTTCCTGGGTCTGCATGCCCACCCTGGTGGGATGAGACACCTGTTGCTGTCACACCGACAGGGCCAGTGATCACCGTGCAAAGCAAGAATAACACTAGACTTTGGGTGTGTGTGCTGTTCCTTGCTTCTTGTAGAGGGCACAAGGTGGTGGAAGGTGAGTCAGCAGCAGGTGGGGAGATGAGGCCTTGGCAGGGATAGGCCAAGCCGAGAGTACTCTGAGCGGGGACAGTTGGTGTTCTGACTGTCTGCTTCTTGCTGCAGAAGTGAGGGTGTAGCTGTGTTGCTGACTCACAGGTGCTGTTCATGCAAAATGGCTGGCACAGTAAATACAACCAGGGCTGCCATTTATGGAGGACTTAGCCTGCTGGTGTGTGGCTATCACTCTTATCAATCCTCAGCATCCCTGGGGGTAGTTTTGTACTGAGCAGTGGAAGAGGCTGAGGGTCAGAATAAGTTGCCCAAGGCAACTCTAACCCTGAACTCTACCACCCAGCCTGGGCTATATCCAGTCTCTAGATCTGGAAAGCCCCAAGTCAACTCATAACCACTGGACTTTGCCACAAAAGAAGGGTCCTTGTGTCTTTAGTAGATATGCTGTGTTGGTCTTATCTAAGGTGTTAGAGATATTTTTGTGGATCCCGTTGATCAAGTCTGAGGCTTTCACATGCAAATTTGGATTCCCAGCTTTTCTTGGAAGAGCAGGCAACAGTGAGCCACCTTACCACATGGAAGCAGTCATGTCCCCTTGGGTGACTGTCCCCTGCAGGACACCTTACCACATGGAAGCAGTCATGTCCCCTTGGGTGACTGTCCCCTGCAGGACACCTTTTCCTTCCACTAACTTGTCCCAGGACTGGCTATGCCCACTCTGGTGCGAACAGGAACCCTTTATTGGAGCATTGACAGGTCTCTGTACGTCTGTTCATCATGTTGTATAGCTCAGGAAGCATTTGAGTTTGCAGCTCCTGAATTAAGTGTTGGCTTACACAGTCTCTTGGGCTCTGATTGGGTCCCTGAAATGCTCTTTGATGAGTGGGCGGGCTCTGAACTCTTCTTGATTTTCTATTGGCACATTGAAGGGTGGGGTGTGGTCCAAACTTACATTTGCTCTTCTCAGTTAGCGGTCTGGTCCTGCAGGCAGGCACAAGGCTTGGGTTCCAGAAGGTCCCACCTCTCAAGGACCCCCGGCTTGACCATTGGTCGCCTCGGAAGGGGTTATGTCCCCAGTCAGGAACAAAGTGTCTTTCGTGTGACATCTGTTGACTCTTATAGACAGGGATGGCGTGTGGGTCAGCTCCATCTTATCTTCTTGGGTTGGTGTGACCCAGGGGCAGCACCAGAAAGCAAGCCGGAATCCAGAGCGAAACCTGGAGGGGGGGGATGCAGGGTCACCTGAGCAATGACGGTAGGGAGCTGTCTGCCATGTAGCTGCTTCCAGACCTAGGAGACTCCCAGAGGAAAGCCACTGCCATCCCCCCATCCCACAAGAGCCTATAATTGCTCAGGGTCTCTTTTGAAGTACATTCTTGAGGGGATTTAGTTTTAGGAAACAGAAAGGATTCTGCAGGGCTGGGAATGTGGCTTAGTGGTAGAGTGCTTGCTTGCCTAGCATGCATGAAGCCCTGGGTTTGATTCCTTAGTACTACAAACAGAAAAACCCAGAAGTGGTACTGTGGTAGAGTGGTAAGAGTGCTATCCTTGATCAAAAGAAGCTCAGGGACAGTGCCCAGGCCCTGAGTTCCAAGTCCCAGGACTGTAGGGAAAAAGTATTCTGCAGTTTCATCTAGGATTTGAGAGGCTGACCATCGACCATGATTACAAACAAGTGTAATGACAAGAATGGGTTTTTCCCATGTGACTTGGTGACCTTTTGAAAGAGTAATCTGTTGATGAAAAGAACAATTGGGGCTCTGGCAATGTTGGAATAGGGGGTGCTCTCCCAAGGGACTGCTCTGAAGATTTCACAGATGGCAGCCACCACGCGTGGACACAAGCTTAAAAAGAAACTTCTCAGGGCAGCGCCCAATATTCACGTACACACTGGAGTCAAGAGGAAGTAGCTGTGGCGAGTGAGAAGAAGGGGTTGGAAGAGAGAATATGGCTAGGGGCTACACAGAAGGGGTAGAGATAAAAAGGGACCCTGTGCAAGGGGAGAGGGACCGAGCTGCCCTTGCTTCCTGGGCTGCAGGGTTCTGTGTTCCAGAAGAGACACTTTGCTTGGGGGACCCTCCATCACCTTAAAGCTTCGTGAGACCCAATGGCAAACCTACTGAATGCCTGTGAACGTAGAGGCCTCCGTGCAACGCTCCCACCCCACATGCCACACCCACACTCCCAGTCCTGCTCCATCTCTCCCTGGCAGTCCTTGCCTCAGCTGCTGACAACTGTCAGCCCTAGGTTGATGGCTCACGCCTGTCATCCTAGCTACTCAGAAGGCTGAGATTTGAGGATCAAGATGCAAAGCTAGCTCGGGCAGGCAAATCCAAGAGATGTCACCAATTAACCAGCAAAAAAAAAAGCAGGAATGAGGCAGTGGCTCAAGTGGTAGAAGACCAACAGGCTTAAGTGAAAAAGTCCAGGGAGAGAGAGAGGCCCTGAGTTCCAGCCCCAGCACCTGCACAGGCAAGAGCCAAGGGGCCTCTCTGGTCAATATCACTCACATCAGTCTTGTGAGGGTAAGACTTTGTGTCTGCCTCTAACTTTATCACCAGCCTGAAAAGCCTGCTCTGCCAGATGACAGAGCTGGTGGGAATGGGGTTGGGGTTCCTGCCTGGTTTACAAGAGCCCCAAAGCAAGTGCCCACCCATGGACTCTACTTCTCCAAAAGCATCAAGGTAGGAACACCTGATGATAGCTAAGCCAGCAGGGAGATTTTGCTCCCTTTATTCCTGGCCATCTCTCTCAAGATCACTTCCCAGCTGCCTTGAGCCCCTGGAGGAGAAGAAATACACTAATCTTGCTGGGAGCAGCTGCCTCCCATCTGGTTCCCCCACGCCTTCATTCCAGTGCTTCACAGGCCAGGTAGGTTTCTGCTCATCGGTGCAGGTGGACACTTTGGAAATATTAGAACGGAGGCTTGGAGGTGTAGCTCAAGTGGTAGGGTGATTGCTTAGTGTGTGGGAGTCCTGGGTTTAATCCCCAGTACTCGAAGAAGCAAAGTTGTTTCTTTGGAAAAGCCAGGTTCCAGTGACTCACGCTACTTAGATACTCCCAGCTACTCAGGAGGAAAAAGGTTCAAAACCAGTCTAGGCAGGAGAGTCCATGAGACTCATCTCTTAGCCAGCAAAAAGCCAAAAAGGCTCAAGTGATGGAGCAAGTCTTGAGCATAAAAGCTAAAGGACAGAACCCTGAATTCAAGCCTCCCCCCGCCCTACACAGGCAAAAACAAATAAATGTTAAAAGAATGGTAGTACTCATAATCCCAGCACTAGATAGAGAAACTGGTTAGGAGGAGCAGGTTTGGGTTTGAAGCCAGTCTGGGTTTTTATAGTGAAATGGAAGACTAGGAATATTGCTCAGTGGCAGAGTACTTGGTCATGCAAGGTCTCCCTACTACAAAACACACAGCCAAGTCAGCCCTTGCTCCTTGACTTGGCTCTTTTGTCCTTTCTGACCCTGGCCTCTCTCTTTTTCTACCTGCAGATCCTCCTGACACCAACAATTGGAGCCAGGTGCTGGTGGCTCATGCCTTTAATTCTAGCTACTCAGGAACCTGAGATGTAAGGACCACATTTCAAAACCAGCCTGGGCAGGGAAGTCTGTGAGACTTTCCAATAAATTTCGAAAGCCAGGAGAGCTGTGGCTTACGTGGTAGAGTGCTAGCCTTGAGCACAAAACTCAGGAACAGAGCCTAGGTCCTGAGAAGAAAGAAAGAAAGAAAGAAAGAAAGAAAGAAAGAAAGAAAGAAAGAAAGAAAGAAAGAAAGAAAGAAAGAAAGAAAGAAAGAAAGAAAGAAAGAAAGAAAAGAAAGAAAGAAAGGAGAAAAGAGAGAAAAGGAAAAAGAAAATGAAAGAAAAGAAAGAAAGAAAAA